TTGATCTCTTGTGGAGAGTTGTCTCACTTGCAATCATACCACATCTTCGTTTTTATATCCACCCTGCCATAATCTTTATTTGCCTGTCCCAGGGATGGAGCCTGTGGTTTAGTGGTTGTCGTTGGTTCCTGTCTCGACTCATATTTGATATTTTGTAAATTGTTTTGTTATGTATAATTAGGCTGTTAGTTTTTTCGTTTGAATTCTTCACACTTTTCATGTCGGGCCTTTTATAGACGACTTTACAGTATCAGATTTTTGTCATTGTTGAAGGCCTTACGATTGTCTACAAAAAGCATTTGTCTACATGACGGCAAAAAGCTCTACAGAGCTTATGCTTGTAGTATTTCATGTAACCCGACTTAAAACAAATTTTTCTTATCTTATCTTATCTTATCTATAATTGCTTACATCCACTTCATATTTGAACTCCGGTGGATAGTTGCCTTATTAGCAATCATATTCCATCTCTTCATTTTTATATTATATACGTGACTTCTAAACTCGTGTTTTCCTGAACAAGCATGAAATAATTTTCACTGGGCGTTAAAGTTAGCAACAAACAATCAATCAATTTAAACTTGTGTTAAATAAGAGGAAAAACCATTTGATATTTATTTATTTGTTGGGGACAGAAGGATTTCATATATGAATATGGTTGCCTGGTAAGAGCTGGAAAATAGGCATGATTAGCGACAGATTGAAATGAATAATAATGCTCTCTCTTCCCTTCCCCATCCTTCATCTATAAATTTAAACTGACCACCACGGAATAGCCCAATAGTGTTGAAAGTAGCGTTAAACACCAATCAATCAAACTCCCTTCCCTAGAATATTAAATAATCGTCCCTTAACTGTTATTGTCCGTGTAGTTCTTATATTTATCCAGCTTATCGTCCTACAGGGATGTCCCACTAAGGCTGTCATACCATAAAAACGTTTATAAAACAGCTCACATTCTAATATATCTGCATTCATAAATTTATTAATTTCATTTAGACTAAATGACGCCATGTTTGTTATGTGCCTCTGCCGCCAACCTATCAAAAAAGAAGAGGTGGAAGAGAGCCAGAAGATCTTCCCAATGCAAAAAAAAACAGAAATGGACTTCTTCCGGCTCACTTCCGAAGAACAAAAAAAAAAAACGCGCCCCATTGATAAGTTTTAAAAACGCCTTGCCCCTACCCTTTTTTCCAAAAAAAATGGCATTATTAAATATATAAACATATATATAATCATCAAAATTAAAATGCTATTGTATTTTTATAAGACCTACTTTATTACATGACCTGGGACTAGTGACATCTATAAGTCCTAGCATACATTAATTATTATAATATGAATATGTTTCTTGTTTTAATAACCACATATGATGCTATGCATGAGTCACCATTTATCAGGACATGAATTGGGTTTACATAGAGAGGATAAGGGAAGACATCAGAAAATCAATGAAGGATAAAAAACTTAATTCAAATAGTTTTTTTTTGGGGGGAGGGGGGGGGGGGTCAAAATTGCTGCAAGTTTTGTTTAATTAACATCGATTTTATATATATCCTTATTGGTCAATCAATTTTTCCCAAATTAAGTTAAGAGGGGGGTAGGGGGTCAGTGAAAAAGACTATATTTTTTTTATCCTACATTGAACTTTTGATGTCGTCCCTTATGTGCAAACTAGATAAGGGGCGGGACCAAACCTATAGATAACATAATAAAGAAATGATGAAATATACAGAATACGTTGATTGACTTTTGGTTGCCTTATGTCCAGTGGCAAATATGTCACGCATGTTTAGGACAAATATAATAGAGATCAAAGGATAAAGAATAGAGTAAAATGGTAAAAACTAAAAGATATAGAATTATAGAAACGATCTTTGACCTGAAACCCCTACCCTCACACACACACCATAACCATTACTGCCAATACTCGCATATATACATCTCTATGCAAATATCTAAATTTGAACCTACTCCCCCCCTCCCTCTAGACACCGAGGTTTTGGATCCGCCCCGGTTAAATGTGTCTAATTATAAACATTTTGTACGGGTCCAGATAATAGCTAAACGTACAATCATATAATTTGTTGGATACCTAATTATATTATGTAATGTGTCACAAAATAAACTTGTATACCCCCCTTCCCAATGCAGTATTGAAAAGTAAATCATTTAAAAGTCCTGAAGATAAAATATGTTTTGAAATATGCCCTGCATACTTATTTATGCAAAGACATATAGTAATTATTGAACTACTGTGGGGCTTGAAAAAAAATCTATTTAAGGGATTCGGAGACGAGAACAGTAAAAAAAAGCTCAGCAACGAATCCTAAATGTAAAATGATTTGCAGCATAAGACATGAGAGCACATATTATAGATAGTATTAAATATGAAGTTCACGCCTCATATAGTGAAGTCCTATGTCATAGGACTATTGTTGTAACATGGGTAAGTAACTGGTTCCAATTTATCCTGAATTGTCTTTATTAAAGAATTAGTTCCGGAGTATAACAGCTTATTTCTCTACTTGTGGGTTTCTGGTTCTGCTGTCGTAATTAGGTGATTTTTTTTCTACATGTAGTAAAAAAGAGGGGGCTTAGTCCAAATAATTGTAACGTCCTGGATGCTTTTTATTCTTTTTTCATGTGTGCCTACCTGCAACGTTTCTGAGGATCAAGAAAAGTAAAAAATGATATAGCACTAAAGAACGTTATGATTACATGTATCTGGACTTAGAAGGGGGAGGGGGGCTAGCTATGTATTTTTTTTTATTTCAATGTGTAGACTGTAGGAGAGTTTCTTCAGAAAAGGTTTTCATTGGATGTGTTTTTGCTATGCACGCAGGCATCTGTTTCTATCCATGAACAAGTTGTGTGTCAAATTAATTATTATTATTTGTCACTCGCATTTTTTGCTCGTCCTGGCCATTATTGGCATTAATAGCCAATGCACGAACTCACACGAACGCCAAATTTAGTTAGAGGGACGATATTCTGACGTGTTTTTTAATTCTTGGTCACTCAAGTTTAGAAAGAAAGGGGAGAAATCCAAACAATTACCGACCAATCACAAACGTTGTTGCAAATTTGACCTTATGACGTCAAAGAATTTCCCATAATGCAATTATTGCATATAAATAAAAAACTACTATACCAATTGAATAAAAAAAATTGCATTCAAATGACATTTTATACCAATTGAATAAAAAATATTGCATTTGAACGAAAATTATACCATTTGAATGAAAAATTATACCATTTGAATGAAAAATTATACCATTTGTATGAAAAATTATACCATTTGAATGAAAAATTATACCATCTGAATGAAAAATTATACCATTTGAATGAAAAATTATACCATCTGAATAAAAAATATTGCATTTGAACGAAAATTATACCATTTGAATGAAAAATTATACCATTTGAATGAAAAATTATACCATTTGTATGAAAAATTATACCATTTGAATGAAAAATTATACCATCTGAATGAAAAATTATACCATCTGATGAAAAATTATACCATTTGAATGAAAAATTATACCATCAGAATAAAAAATATTGCATTTGAACGAAAATTATACCATTTGAATGAAAAATTATACCATTTGAATGAAAAATTATACCATCTGAATAAAAAATATTTCATTTAAATGAAAAAATATACCATTCAAATAAAAAAATATTGCATTTAAATGAAGATATATACCAATTAAATAAGAAATATTGCATTTAAATGAAAAATATCAAATTTTTGCAACCTATACCATGCCATAACTGACAGTCTAGTCATAGTATACTACACCTGTCTGTCTGTCCATCTGACGGATATCAAGTTTCGTGTAAGCATGTTTTACCATGTGATGAATTTTCACGTTACATTATGTATTGTAGTTATATAGGATGGTTTGGATAGGGTTTACAGAATAGATAATAATGGTGGAAAATAAGGAATATGAACTGGGAAAAAAATTAAGGAGAAGAGAATAATGGGGAGCTAAAATATAAAGAATATCTGCAAAAATTACAAAAATTGGGTAAACATATATATATATTGATTACATAAAAGAACAATGTCCAGAATACAGTTATCAAGTAATTACAGAATGGCCATTATTTTTAAAGCTAGAGAATAATGAGCGAAAAAATTAAAGAATACAGAAAAGAAGGTCCCCCAACAGGCATTCCCTCATAAAGTCCCAGGATCCCATTACATATCAACTTCATGTTTACCTAATCGTGACATTGTTGAAGGCCGTACGGTTGCTTAATATTGCTTACATCCACTTCCTTTGAACTTTGGTGGATAGTTGTCTCATCGGCAATCTTATCACATCTCTTTATTTTTATAATGTAGTTCTGCTAAGACTTATAGTTGGGGTTATCAATACTTTGTGTCATTACTATCAAAAAACAGTACATTAGTACTACAGTTAGATGGGTGGCAGATTCCAGTGGAAAATCAAATGCATATTCAGGACGAGAACTAGGCAAAATAATTATGACGTCTTTTTTGCTGTGACGCCTTCCAATGTCCTGTCGGTCATGGTCGATTCGGCCTTGATCGTTTCGGTCCATTATACATTTTTTATAAATGTTCTTTTCTATCAATGTTTGGATATTTCTTTATTATATATATTAACCCTTTCTCAATAAAGATAAATACGGTGCACTGTTAGAATGACACAGCAAGTAGAGCCAGGTACAGAACTTGGTCGGAATTCCTTGACAATGTAATTACCGTTTCGACCGTGTATAGTACGCATTTGTACTTAATTTGTACTTTTTTTCTTTGTTGTATGTTGAATGTTGTTGGTTTTTTTTTCATTATATTCGGTGAGAAGCCCATCAGAGCTTATGTTCAAATGTTTATCAATATGCTGAATCAAAATAAAATTTATACTTGTAATTTTTAATTTTGTATCGTTATGTTGAAGCTCGAGGTATATTACCCCAGATATATATGCCAAATGATCGATTTGAAAAAAGAAAATGAATATATTTCATATCTTTATTGTTTACAAAGAGTATCATCAAATAACAGTTAATAACAAGAACAATTTAGAATGGTTACATATAAAGCACTATACATTATAACGTAAAAAACACTCACACGAAACATTGCAGAATACACAAACATATTAAGGCCCGCGATTATCAATGTTCATTTCAAACAATTAGTTACAGATACTATCATATAAAGCACTAGACTCTGTCGTTTAAACAGAAAAAACATATAGAATTCACAAACAAAATTTGTTCAGTTCATGGTGTTCGCCTACTAATAGATGTGTCAACCATTTACCATTCAAGCGTCTATGCTAACCTACAGGATAGGAACAAAAATGTAAAAACATATACAAATAGCTTAACTTAATTACACAATTCAGTACATACATGTATGCAATACTGTATTTCAACAAGTATAATCACTATTATTTTCAAAATAAATTAAAAACAATTAAGTATTGAATGCTTCTTTATATAATTTTGTTGGGGTGTAAAAGGATCAGATTCGACTGAAGATCATTTCCGCGCTTCATATTAAAAATGCGCACACGATCCAATTCTTATAATTATATTTTTATTCTTTAACCACGAAATTAAGAGTTATATCAATCTTTTCGTTTGTTTTCTGTGCATTGTTTTAACATTGTCACGTGTATTCATGTATAGCTGTTGAATTTTATACGGAATATGCGGAATAAAATAAATATCTTTATACTACAATCATGAAATTAAGAGTTATATCAAGCTTTTCGTTTGTTTAATTATGCATATATATATATAGTTTAAACATGGTCACGGATAGCACGTGTACAGCACGTGTAGCTGTTTACTTTTACACGGAAATAAAATTTTATATGGGTGTGCCTCGCGATTGTTTTAAGCCAATCAAAATTATCGATTTAACTGACACATACATGTAATGTTATACAAATATAAGCAATAAAATAAATGATGTCAGACGCGTAACGGTTAGTATAATTACATCCGTATCTAAAAGCTACTGTGCGTTTTCTAGTATTATATAATGATAAATTGATATCAATTTCATCTTTTTCTCATAACATTGGTGTGGGTTCTGCTCATTGTTGAAGACCCCATAGTACTTTACATCTATGTCTATCTTATTAAAAAAAAATATGAACAATTGTGTTATTGACAAATCTTAGCTTTGATTAAGTACCTCAAGTTTAAATCTCTAGGTTCCTTTAGACGGCGCTCCTGTCGAAGTCTGTTGATTGCTCTGGTAAGGTTGTTAGTGTTTGGGAGGTTGAGGTCTTCGCCAATGATGTTGTTGTGTATTTTCTCTTTTACAATGTCAGCAGCAGACTTATGGGCATGAACAACAGCTTCTGTCATGACCTGAAAAGATCAAGAATATTTAACAAAGTATATAAGACATCACTTGACTTTTGTGACGTAGCAAGCCACCATTTTGTGTTATTTTGTCCCGGCATAAAAGATGTATAAGTGCTCCACATTTAATTAATAACTATAAGAGTTGTCCTCATTGTTAAAGGTCGTACGGTGACCTATAGGTTGTAAACATTGGTCTCTAGTGGATAGTTTACTCATTGGCAATCATACCGCATCTCCTTATTTTAAATTTGAGCTATCTTATTATTCATCATTGAAATGTCAAAGAGTATATGAATCAGAAACATTAAAAGATTAACCACTAACAGATATTTGATATAAATATTTACAATGTTTTTATAAATTACCTCAGCTCTTATCTTTGTCTTTTTTACAACACCAGGGTCATTAGGGTGGATATGTGGCTTAGCTCCTCGAATAAAGTGCTGGTCCCTCTGTGCAACAGTTGCTTTACAGGAGATGGTCTTGTTGCGAACACTGCATCTCCAGTTGATTGTACGTGATGTAGCATTCTGGAAAAAATAAGTTAATTTTTTTATTTGATACAAGATCAAATGTTTGACAGCAAAATACTGTATCACATTTAACACCAATTAGGCCTTGTATATATATAAAGTTAGTATTTAATGAGGGTACCCAACACTTTGACTATAATAGGATATATAGCAGTTTAACAAAAACTTATGTTGATCACTGAGAAGCTAGATTTCTCAATACTAATCTGTATTCTCGTAAACCAATGTATAATGGTTAAGAAACATACACAAATAAATTAGCATTCATATCATAAAATGAAATTACGAATGTAAAGTAAAGACATAAAGTGGGTACCCAGGAGATTCTAGGCATTAATTAATGTATAAAAAAAAGCGTTTGTCTTCTATCGTTTATTGCCGAACATTCTAAAATATAATGAAATTCATCGCCAATTTCACGGCCGGATTAGTTTATCGAATTGAAATAAAATTAACGCATTTAACAAACAAGTTTAACATCCATCTACCCCAATACTATTGTAATGCAGTTAGTTAAATTACCTTTACTGTGTATGAATAGCCATCACTGCTGACCAACTTCTTTGTTTTTCTCATCGTACCACTGTCAACTACCTCAAAGGTCACAGGTCTGTCTTCGATGAAGGAATCTGATTGGTCATGGTTTTCGGTGAAGGAATCAGAGTCATCTGTGTCACTAAAAAGGAAAATCAATAAATTACTGAGTTATGGTGTGTGTTTTTTTTAAATTATTTTTGTATATGTATACATTGTAAAATAAATAGTAAGTAACCTTTTTCGATGTTTTCAAATGATCCTATAATCACAATCCTTCGTTAAGAGGGTTTCTTTTTCTGAGCATCCCTTCTGGGCATGTTGCAAAATTATTCAATGTGCAACAAAAACATATTTAAACTTTAAACTATCCAACGGTTAAATGTTAAGTTTCCAGAAAGAAAAACAAATCTTTAAGAAATTAAGGGCAGATAATCATACTGAATTAGCTAGGACAATTTGTTTTATTTTTTTATTTTTCAAAAAATAAGGGCCGAGACCCCCTTTTTCTATTTGATATTTAGGAAGTATTTATGAAAAGAATTCTTTCATTGAGTTTTAATCAATCAAGTATATCGTTTTATGTTCCTTCAATTAGGAAAAATAATTTCTCCGTATATAACACATATAATATAACAGATAGTGATTTCGTTTATTTCAATTTATTTCAATGAAAAAACGAGGTCCATGACCCCTAGTATTTTTTATTGAGATTTGAAAGTAGGTCTTCAGAATTTAAAAAAACATAAATATCGTCGAACAATTAGACATCTACTTTAAATAATAATATATAACTTTTTTATGGTATTTTATATATAACCATACCTTTCAACAACTTAACGATCAAACTCTATAGAAATGTTGAACGATAAGTCTGGAATTGACACATCTGCTGCTTCGGATGACAACGGACCAAGGGACTTTTCTAGGGCGTCAACCAGAGCGATGTCTCTCTCGTTCTGAAACAAAAACCAACTTGTTGAATACATATTTTTAACATATAGATTTTAACAAAAAATGTCGGAACAGAATATTACAACAATGTTTATTGTCCATTTTCACTGAACTAGTACACATTTTTGTTTAGTGACCAGCTGAAGCCCGCCTCCGGGTGCGGGATTTTCTCATTGTGTTGAAGACCCGTTTGTGGCCTTCGGCTCTTTCTGCTCTTAGGTCGGGTTGTTATCTCTTTGACACATTCCCCATTTCCATTCTCAATTTTATTCCATTTTATTTTTGCTTTAAACAAGGATTTGTTATAGTCTTACTTTACAAATCCTTGCTTTAAAATATTATAATAATGTTGTAGTGGATTGATTGATTGATTGATTGATTGATTGTTGGTTGTTTAACTTCCAGTGTAGTGAATGAGATTATAATTAGTATTACAATAGAGAATTGATACCACTGCATATGATTTTAATACCAATATACTTACCAAATTACGTAGTGAAAGTTTAAAATTGAATTTAGAAACAGGTCCATATGACAATTAATGTTCCTAAAAACAATCTTTTTTATAGATGTTGTAAAATGAACAACATTGAAGATGATTATCATTTTGTGTTGATTTGTCCTGTTTAAAAGCACTGAAATGTATTTTTTTACTAAGATTTTATTGTTCATGGACATATACGCGAAAGTTATTTGTTTGTTTGTTAAAAGCTGGGTCAAAAAGCTTTTCAAAGAAATTTGTAATTATCTAAAGGCGGTAATGAATTTCAGATCACAAATTATATGTTGTACAAAAATATGTGTTATAATAAGTTATCTCTGCATACTAGTAGTTTATTTGTTCTATGTATACTGTAATAGATTTTTTGCATAAGCAATGTTGTTTTTAATGCAATAAATATTCATTCATTTATATACGTGTGTATGATTAATTGGATTATTAGATTAGCTTAGTGATAATATGTTCTTGCCAAAGACGTATGTCTGCTGAGGGAGATGGCACACTTCTGTGATGTGGGATATTGGGGGTAAACAATTCGAGTCCATGAAGAAAAAAGAGAAGTGGGAAAATGAAAATACAATTGGGGGAAAAATGAGCACACACGAGGCCCGAGTCGGTCCTTCACATTTTCAACCAATCATCTTGTAATTTGATTTGATAATTTGCAAACAAGACTATCACTTTATTATGTGCTTATTGTCACATGGTTCAGCATTACGATAGAATGGAAATTAAGAATTGAAAAAGTATGAGAACAAATTGAAATTTGAATAAATTGATTTCGACACTCAAACGTTTTGTAAAAATATATAACGTATTATTTGTTACGTTATGAATAAAAAAAGAAAATCCATGGGTGATATATGAGGTCTGGACCGGGTTTACAGAATAGAGAATAATGGCCAAAAAGAATAAAAAGAGAATAATGGGGTGCAAAAGTATAATGAAATAACAGTGGAAAATAAAATATTTAAATAAAAATACAATACTGATTACAGAAATGAACGCTGCACAGAATAAATAAATCCCCAAATTACATAGAAATTAAATAGTGCTATCATTTTCATAAGAAATTTACCTAATAAGCGTTTATTTTAAAGATAAAGGAATTACCCTACAAATTTAAAGTATACATAATTAATTTATATTTTTTTACATTAAGAGTTATCTCCCCTTAAATGGACAAGTTGAAAAATTGATTCTAAAAACCAAGGATTTGTATAATGAGAGTCTCACTATACAAATCCTTGTAAAAACATAAATATTCGGTTTTGTTTAAATATTTTGGATGATGCAATGAATCACAATTTTCCTTTATACAATTAAGTAGTGTTACACATGAATTGCAAATCTGTTTCAAAATTTGAAGATAAAGGCAAAGAACTAGACTGATTGTGTATTGCTATTGTACATTCCAAGATGGCGGCATACAGTGAATCTACCTTAAAGACCCTCAATATATTTGAATTATAACTTACCTTAGGTTGCTCATCTTCTACAACTGGTTCCCACTCTGATGCACATTCCAATACTGGGGAACATTTACAACACTCAAAAAACATTTCTACCTCATTGCACACCAGTCTTCTATAATCAGCAAGTGAAACACCTAAAATGTAAATGAAATTTAAAATAGTTCGTGTGTTTTCCTCAATCTGAAATTGTTAAATAGCAGAACACAGTAGGTCCAGTATTTTAATTAGGTCAGCAAATTGCAGGAATGCAACTTACTAGTTGGATAAACAAATTAATGTAATCTATGTTTATATTATCACTCAATTTTTTTTTAAAGTAGAATAATTATAGTTTTGCTTGATATCAATTTTTTTAAATTGTGCCTATTAAAGGGGGTAACTCAGAATAAGTATAATTTATAACGGAATCTTCATGAAATTATTTTATTTTATGTTATAGAAGGATCAAAAGTACAGTGACACAATTTTTCTTTTGATATTTTGAGAGCATTCTATAAGAGCTGTCTTCTCATATTCTATTTCAAAACTCTACCTTTTCTTCATATAATGATGCTTTTTGTGTGTATAATTCATACAAAATGTGTCATTTATTCACTAAAGAAGATCGATGACCTATAAATTTTATTATATTTTTGAACCTGTCACAATATAGCCTATATTTTGGCAAAGCATGAGCAAATTCTATATCATTTATGTTTATATTCCCGCGCAACCTTAAGCACACAGTAAAATATCAATTTTATACCAACAACAACAAAAAAAATTGTTTAGTCACTGACAAATATTTCCAGAAATAAGGTAATCAATGCACGTTGAAAATATTTTGTTCATTGACGTTTCTAAATCTCGAAGCATCTGGGACTATTATACTAACGGGACTGGAAACTGATCGATCTGTTGAGATTTCATTGCCTTGATAGCGGTTTATTGATTTTTTGTTAGTATAATAGTCCCAGGAAGCATATACTTTAATTAGTTCCAAACTTTTTATTCGACTTTTATATAAGTAATCTTTTTATTAAAATAGTTAACCATATTTTTAATCTAAATTTTTAAATTTTTGAATAGGTTAAACATGCTTTCATTTCATTCTAAATAAATTTTGCTGCTTAATTTTTAAATCATTCTATGTGTGAGATTCAACTTTGCATGTTGTTTTTTATATCTTAGACTGTTTTTACCCTTTTTATATTTGGTCAAAAGCTCCTTAGAGCTTGTGTTGTATGTTTGACCATGGAATTATTATATTGACGTCAATATAATACTTCAATGGTTTGACTTATGCTAAATCAAAAGATATTTTTCTGATCTTTTCTACCACCATATATGATAACAAAAAGACGCATTGAATTATCAAAACTTCATATATGTTCCATAATCATGCAATTACGAGTGAAATTAAAATAACGGAATTTCATTAAAAATCTGTGCAATATGATTATTTTTACATGTACCATATCTGACATACCAAAACGATAATGATAAAACCAATCCTTTTTTATAATTTTTTTTTAATACCAGAGTGATTTTAGCTATTTTCGTCCGTGTGCTATAAGCGTACTGTAAAAATTAGACAATGGATGTGCTCCTAACCACAGGAGAAAGTTACAGAAGGAAGAAGCAGAAGATTTCAAAAAACGTTTTACAAATGACTCCGAAAGTAATTTGATGGGATATTCTTTCATTTATAAAATAATGTCTTGGGTGTAAAGTTGAAAGGTCAAGTTACTATAAATGGTTAATATACACCATATTTTTTTTACATCCATTCCACGGAAATCAATGTATCAACAACATGTAGTTTTTTTAAAGAAAAAAATCTTCGGATTTTTAATATGAGATTTCATGATATGAATTAAAGACGTTAAGAACGTTTTTTTTTTTCGATTTTATGTACTTTCTTTACAAAAGTTCACCTATTTTTTGAATAAAATCAATCAGTAATATTTCAGTAAAAGAAGAGATCAATTATTTTTTTTTAAATTTCCAGATAAAGTTTACGTTGACCACCTTTTCCGAAATATGTGACATAGCCATTTTACTGTTCTTTTACCTTAAATACAAAATAATCAAATACAACTAACCTGTGTTACAAAGACGATGCTGCCAACAAGAACAAGTCTCACACTCAAAGGCATGCTGTCGAGGACGAACCTCCTTCTCACAGTAAGCACATGGAAACGACATAATAGAGGAAATAAAAACTGGGAGACCATGCCTTCAGCTTTTATAAGTACAAGGCGGAATATCAAAGGAATGTCTCAAATTGAGTATATGATTTTATCATTTTCCATAACAGGCAAAGTTTGCATAAGCTTGGGCTCCGCTTGGGACTGTCGCACTCTTTAAAGACCATTATTTATGAAACGTGGCAAATTACAACTTCAAAGGAAAACATTGTATTTTAATTATCACACCAATTATGAAAAATAACTGTATGTGTTATCTGCAATCAACTAATTAACTTTGAATTTAAAAAAAAAAAAAAAATCATTAAGTAAACAAATACGATAAATTGTTAACCTTATAAAAAAAGTTTTTAGTTAAAATATAAGAAATAACCGTAATACTTTTCAGCATGACAATATCTATATATAAGATAATGAATGTTACCGACAGTTTGAGTGGTAAAAAAAATATAAATTAAAAGAATTAAATAAATTAAAATTAAACGGTAGTACTAAATGTGTAATAAAGTAATTTTTTTTTTAAAGTTATAAAAGGATAAAAGGAATACAAATGAAATTTCAAACAAAACAAATCTCTGTTTATATAAAGTAAATGTATTGTGGAAACGACGTTTATTTTATGTCCGAAGTGGTCCATGGCCGAAACGACCAAGACCGAACTTGCTCCATGGCCGAAACGTCCAAGACCCAAACTGACTTCATGGCCTAAACCCAAAATTACAAGTCTTAGAGTGACCCTGCAAGGGTTCGATCCCACGACCCACCTCCCCCTAACGGCACTCGAGGCGATCATGTTACGACGAGACTACTGCATGCCGAGGTGGTATTTCTACATATAGAGCTCACGGTTCTGTAATGATATAATACTAACCATAGTGTACATAAAAGCCATTGACAAATACTGAGACTTCTATAACACAACAGTTAAAAACATGCAAAAACGGCTTTTAAATTTACATAAATGTAGTTTTAGCGAATTCTACTAGAACTGAAGTTACTTCCTGCTATATTTGTAATGCTTTCATGATTTATTTGACTTTCTTTGATCCGATTATACTTGAAAAAAAATACTTCACCCTAGGTCCTACAAGTACCATATCGTTGTTGGACCAGAAAATAAAAACTTTCATGCTGAAATAACATATTTTAAAAGATTATAACTTTTTTTTTAATAATAAAAAACGTTTGAAATTGATTTGATATTCGGGGGAGGGAGGGGAAAGGGGGGGGGGGGAGATTTTTTTTCGGATTGAATTTTCATTTTCATATGTTGCTATGCGTGCTTATTTTTGGCGCGAAAATTTATTTTCACTTTTGAACATAATTGCTACACGCATTTTATGTTGACGAATATTCGTTTTCAACCTGTCTTGTGCAAAGTTATTTATTTTCAACTTGAACTTGTGTCCCTTCCACAGAAAATCGAACGGGCGTTCCGTGAGGTCTTTGCCACTTTAAACCAAAAACAAGAAGATCTCTTCACCTAATAATTTATGCGAATGTAGAACGAAAATTCACAGGACTAAAAGGTCATTCAAACATTTACAAATAAACATAGCTTTTTTTCCTAATATAAACTTTAAATATTATGTAATATACATCTTTGTACTGAAAACAAGATTTATTGTCAAAATTTTAATATTGATTAAATAATTTCTAAGAAAGCAAGCTGTCAAATTGTTATTGTCTATTGACCTTTATATAGATATTTACAGAGAATTCCGTATCTTAACGCTATGTATATCTGAAAACTAACACTTTATAAAGTTATTGCTTCTGCAGCGTGTTTTTTCACTAACACAAAGGAGCCCTCAAACTAAAAAATGATTGAAAATCCGGGATGTACGACTACCTTTACATGTGAATATCTATATGATCTAAAGGGTCAAAAAGAAGTTGTAAACTGCTGGATTGCGATTTATTCTTTAACGAGACAGAAGTAACTCCCCCCCCCCCCCCCACACACACACACAAAGAAATAAAACAAGACAAAGAACACATAGCGGTTCAATCGTTTAAACGAAAGTCTGGACAAGTTGTTACTAAATATTACAATGAGTACAACATTTTTCACATCAATATCAAATAATTAAACACTAAGATATAAGTAAAAACAAAGACAGATTACATGGACGAATCATGGGGTCCAATGAGGGGAGGGGGGCATAAATCCTCTCACTGGTAAAATAAAGCCCAGCCAAAAAACAAAATTATGCGAAAAATATTTTTTTTTCGATCAAAATGGGTCGTACGCCCTCCTCGAACCCCCCCCCCCTGAATCCGCTACTGAACTTCTGTCAGACAGAAAATGTTGGTAGTTTGGTGTCAAGTTAACGGTCGCGGCAAATATCATATGCATATCAAAACGGTGTTATGTAAATGTAATACATGTATCCACAAACATTTCCATGAGTCGGTATACTCAACTCTCCCAGTTTTTATCTCGACCAGTCAATGAAAAAAAAACAACAAAAGTCTACGTCAATCTGGTGGATAGTTGTCTCATTGGCAATCATATTCTTATTGTCGAGCCTGCAAGAGCTAGACATAGCGATCCCAGATTCCGTCGTTGGCGGTTTCGGTGTCGCAAACATTAAGGTTCAGTCTGTGGTTAAAGTTTTTTTTTTAGTCATCAATAACTTTGTCAAACTTTCATTGAATTTTACTCAAGTTGGACAGAAGCTTTTTTATGAACAAATGAAAGTATCAAGAGTAAAAATTAAAAATATATCAAACTCCGAAACAGTGGTAACGTCCTCCTTGCTACACTACGTTGACTTTGATAGTTTAGCCAACGTCACCACTGTTTCGGAGTTTCAAAATATATTTTCATTTTTCCGTATTTTACTTATACATTATTGGACTTTTACAGTTTAAAAATAGACACAGTCACGGGTTAAAGTTTGTTACATATCAACTACTTTGTCAAACCTTCATATAGTTTTATGAAAATTTGGCAGAAGCTTTTTTATGATAACGATTATTGATTTGGGGGTGTACGGCGGCGAATTTAGATATGTTGGTTCCTGTGACTAAATGAAGGTCCAGTTTGATTTTCACGATTTTAGCTTTTATCGTTGTTGAGTTGTAGACCTTTCAGTAGTGAACAGTGATACTTAGAGCGTTGTCCGTGCAATAACTTGATAACGCTTTGACGAAATCTTTTCAAATTTAGATATGTTGTTTCCTGTGACTAAATGAAGGTCATGGTCACCCATCAACCAATGTGGACAAAATTTATAATACAATACGTTTTGTGATGACACCCAATTATTACACAGTTCTTCTTGAAGATATCAATATTGACCAGTTCAAACAAACTGAGCAGTTGAAAAGTTCGGTGTACTTTGCATCCACTTCATTAAGGCCAAGCTCATCGATGAATTTACAGACTATCATTCTTCCATGCATATATAACCAGACGACAACCGTTTGAAATTGGGTTTCTGGAAAGTTCTATGTTGTGTCTTATGTACTATTGTTTGTCTGTTTGTCCTTTTCTCTTTTAGCCATGGCGTTGTCAGTTTGTTTTCGATTAATGAGTTTGAATGTCCCTCTGGTATCTTTCGCCTCTCTTTTATTGGAGTGACCACAAAATTCTATGGTTTCATATCAAAAAGGTTATAATCTCATTGACATACCGGGTATTTCTTTCATCATTGACTTCATGACTTCTTATTCCTACCTTCTTAAATTCCAATATTATGTCACTTATAATAAATAGATCAGTTTGACCTTCCCATTTATGAAGCCTACAAAAACTCATTTATTTTTTTACTTGATCCTGTTTGGGAATTCAGATTTCCAAATATCATTTTCATCCAGGAAAATCCGGTTTGCTGTCAATTGAAAAAGCGCATTAAAAACAACTTACAGTAATTGAGAACTTTTTTTAAACAAAATATACTTTTATTCACTGGTATTTTTAAACGCAGCGCGAACATGGTGATGCTGAAAGACTACAATCGTGCAATAATATTTTCAAACGTAATGTACAGCTGAATAGTCAAAAGTATTTTTATAATCGTTCAATAATATTTTCAAACGTAACGTACATATAAATCTGATAAAAATATTTCCTGTTTGTATCATACACTGGATTATAACAAATAATTAAGATTAAGATTACATGTAGTTGTCTGCATCCTGTTCGGGACCCCTTTACCTTCATTGACTGTTTATTTAATAACGATTTAACAAGACACATCCTTCTATAATCGTCATTACGCGTATGCAAAGGTCCTGTTTGTGACTTTCTGGTCTCATTGATAGGAGATCACTTTCATAATTTTTTCATAAGAATAAAGAAAGGTCTGGTAATAGCCTGTCAAAAGAAAATTACAGTAAGTTTCATTTTTTTTCAAAATTATAAGTGTTTTTTACTTGTATAATTTTTATAAGTAAAATAATTTATTTTTTCATTTATTCATCTTTTTATCTGTCTATTTGTTTGTTTATTTTTATTTGTTCATCTATTCGTTTGATATAAACACATTTGATTTTTTATGAAGATTGGTTTCTTAAAGATGCTGCTTCCCGCTTGGCCATTTTTAAAATACGAATATCAATATTTTGTATGGCAAGCCGTTTTACTATTTATACTAACTTCAAGATATCTCATATAGTTTATAAAATATCTTATATAATTTAAAAGATATCTTATAAAGAAAACTATATGAGATATCTTATAAACTATATAAGATATCTTATAAACTATATAAGATATCTTATAAACTATATAAGAGATCTTATAAACTATATGAGATATCTTATAAACTGTATAAGATATCTTATAAATTATATAAGATATCTTATAAACTATATAAGAGATCTTATAAACTATATAAGAGATCTTATAAACTATATGAGATATCTTATTAATATTATATATCTTGAAGTTAGAATAAATAGCCTTAGTTTTGGGCTGTATTTTTTATGTTACAATGCAGCGGCTGATATGAGTGTGTATAAGAAGGTACACTGTATAAGATTATGAAATTCGGTTTAACTTCTGCGACCGAGAGAATTCTTAATTGAAATCTATCTCGAAAATGTATACACAAAAAAAAAATGAAGTACACTAAACAAAATAACCAGATTTTATTTAAAAAAAAAGCTTTATTAAAAGGGCAATGGGTTTAAAATAATGTAAATTTGTAAAACGTTTGAAATTTTGTAAAACTTATATAGGCGGTACTTTTCTCATGTTTTATCTTTTTTCTTGCAACTTAAATTCTAGTCATAACAACATATAAACGGACTCAATCGAACATAAGTTTTAAGTACTATAAGCATTTATTGATTCGACATATATATAATTCATTGTTGATTCGACATATATATAATTCATTGTTGATTTTTTTTATCTTTATATCGTTTTTCTGATAAGTGTGTTCTTGTTATTATTCTATGCACTTATCTAAAATCAAACGGGGGAGAATTGAGATCTGAAAAAAATAGCTTAACACCGGATCATGGCCTTTTCTAAAATTTTGGTTAATATACATGTTTCGGAGTTTAATGTGACGCCCATTTTCGCTGAACTAGTACATATTTTTGTTTTAATTGGGGACAGCTGAACCCCGCCTGCGGGTGCAGGATTTTCTCGCTGTGTTAAAGACCCATTGGTGGCCTTGGGCTGTTTTCTGCTCTTTAGTCGAGTTGTTATCTCTTTATCACATTCGCCGTTTCCATTCTCAAGTTTACTTGTAAGATATGAAAAATAGCATTGCCTAAGACAGGATGAAAATGAATATTCTGCTCAACAAAATGCAGAAATTATTTATTTTTAAAGGATATGTAAGTAAGCTTAACTACAACAGTTGAAAATGAATATTCCGGCCACAAAAAAAAATCATCCTGCCCCCTCCCCCTGCCAAATCTAATTATCGTCCCCTTAGTTGACGTCTTATGCCATAATGTGTTTTCTGTCATTTTTGCACATTTTGTGTTGAAGGAACATCTTTGATTATTCTAAAATAAGGTAAGAGAGGTGGTACAATTGCCAATGAGACAACTTTCCACCAAAGTTCAAAAGAAGCGGATGCAAGCAATTATAGACAACACTACGGCCTTCAACAATGAGATACCGTATAGTCGGCTATAAAAGGCCCCGAAATGAAAATATGAAACAATTCAATTGAGAAAACTTACGGCCTAATTTATAACAAAACAATTTACGAAAAACAAACATGACAGACATAAATCAATGACGACCACTGAACTACAGGCTCCTGACTTGGGACAGGCACATGAAGAACGTGGCGGGGTTAAACATGTTTGTGAGTGCTCAACCCTCTCCTAACCTGGGACAGTGGTATACCAGCACAACATAAGAACAAACTATAAAAATCAGTTGAAAGGCTTAACTCATCAGATGGATACAAAGAAAAACATCAAACAAAAACGCAGACAGGACGTGACAGCAACAATTTGTTTTATTCGTATTTTCAGGACTGGGGACCATTTGGAGCCTCACATATAATAAAGACTGCGGTCTATCGTAGATGTCTGTGTGTTACCTCTATTTATTTTGTTTTGTCATTTGTGTCGTTGGGTTGTCGTCTTACTGACCTATTCCCTTTATTTCCTTTTATTCATATTTTATTGTATTTATTAATGTTTCGGTAAAAGGAGGGTCTGGATTTGGGGGGGGGGGGGGGTGTCCTTCATTTCTGTATTCTTTAAGTTTTCAAGGTCATTTTTCTCTATCAATCTTTATATATTTGGTCCATTTTTCTTTACTCTATATTTTAGCACCCCGTTATTCTCTAGTATTTATTTTTTTGGGGGGTTTATTTTCTCTATTCTGTTAACCCCAATCCAAACCCTCATATAGTAATACCAAATTTAGACAGTTCCTTTTGATTTAAAAAAAAAACAACTGGCATTCCAACAACATCATCTCCAATATTACGTTCATCTACAAAAGAAATTTATCTTATTGTGTGTCTAGTGTGTAGACATTACTAGGATTTCTTTGCTTTAAGGATGTACTTAGGTGAGGTTAAGGAATTTGTGTCAGATGTTCGGACTCCTTGGCTTTTTTTCTACGATACACGGTAAAATATTTTGCCCCATAACACCCACTTTTCTTTTCATATAAGACTTCAATAGCTCATAAAAGGTCATTTACCAAAATTTAAGCAGATTCTAGATTTCTTTTCTTTCGATTTGAGACCCAAATGATACCAATGAAAGTACGAGGTAAAAGTCAGGGTCAGCCTTTTCCCGCCATTATTTAAAACTCAAATATCTCGAAAAGGAGATAACCTATCAATATTTTTAGCCAAATTATTTTGTTCCTTAACTAAAGCTCTTCCGTCTTATAGTATCAATTTTAACTTCTAGATTTTTTTAATTTCACCTAAGTACATCCTTAAAACAAGGAATTATTTGAATCTGGAATACTTTTGAAATCTGGTAAATTGATGAGAAATGTATGATGAAAACTAACCCCCTAAATAGGGTTAGCCATGCGACCATGGCTAAGGGGGGTTAGTTAGTTCATAATGATTTATTAGTGGGGAAAAATAACCTTAGATATGCGCGCATGGCTAACCCTATTTAGTTGGGTTAGTTTTCATCATTATTTTCTAATCAATTTTCCAGAATTTAAAATTATTCCAGATTCAAATAATTCCATGTTTTTAAATTGAAATGCAAAGTAAAAACAAAATTCCTTATTTTTTAGGAAATGGGCAGGATGAAAGCAAACGAAAATGGAGTAAAAATCATTCTTTGGGTAGTGGCGATGTTTATGCTGCTACAGTTTCTAGATTATGACTGGAATATACTTAATTTTCACTTGTTTGGTGGATCACGACCGGTAAGTATCGACCAAAGCCTCGTTCTGAATGCAATGAATAATCATTGAGAAAGTAACTCGAATAATTCTGCGCCCTCTAGCGGCCTATAGATTAATGCAGCAATCGGAGACTAGTCGGAGATTTGCGGAATATAATGACCGACATTATTCCGGTTATTGAGAAAAGAGTATATACTGTTTCTGTCTAAATATGGTTGTCTATCGTTGGTGCTTTGTCAGATATTTGATGAAATGCAAGATGCAGCAAAACATCTAAAAGTATTTCAAATCGTATTCCAACGACGTTTCAATTTGTTTCGAATTTATAATAATCATATTTAGATCAGGTCCAACGATTCAGTCACATGCCCTTGTGTAATATTTGTCACAAGAAAAGCAACATGTTGTTTTGATTTTATCATTTCTGGATCATAATTGGCCGGAGCGCATGATATCATCCCTAGTTTTTGGTAGGGTCCGTGTTGCTCAGTCTTTGGTTTTCTATGTTGTGTTTTGTTTACTGTCTTTTTCTTTTTTTTATCTATGGCGTTGTCAATTTATTTTTCGTCTCATGAGTTTGAATGTCCCTCTGGTATCCTTCGCCTCTCTTTTAACTGAAACGCTGGACTTGAGCTAAATATAATAATTAAGAAAAAAAAAAGAAAAGAAAATCACCCCAATTTTGCACTACCAATCAAATGAAATAAAAGAATAGTAAATAAATATGATTGCTTAAAAGACAAAAAAAAAAGACAATTAATTTTCCATAAACTAAAGTCGATTTCATCGTCTAAATAAGTTTCAATATAACTTGCAATTACTCATTTTTCATACACTTGTAAGATAAAAATACAAAAATGTAGTTGATGATTGATGATTTTTTATTGAAATTTTATTAAAACATGTAGGATCAAGCTCAACAGATATCTGACAATCAATAATGGAAAAGTTGTGAAAATACCATTATGCACACACATATGTAATCAAAGATGTGACGAAATTTCAATGGTAAATTTAAACATCATATACATCAATTTAACTTTTTGTCCATCACATGTAAACTGTGTTGTCTCATTTTAAAAACCTTACATTAGGTGGTCGAACTATGTGAATATATAGTACAGACATTTTCACAGAATCAACATGTTAGTTATTGGTAATGGATTGGAAGGGGTAGTACATATTGAATCACTCAAAGGGTCTTTGCATCGGAAATAAACCATTTGTTATAAAACCAGTTGTTGGCATGATGCGAGTTGGGTTCTTTACGTATGTTTTTGTTTGCATAATACTGAACCCCTACCCGGAGGGATTGTGGTTGATTTTCATATGATGAAGACATAATCTTCCGATCAGTTTAATCAAGGCCTGAAACTGCCATGTCAGTAACTGCTATTAATACTTTGTTAATAATTATTAATATTTGTTTTGATCAATGTCATTTTTCTTAGTTTCTTCTGTTACCTATTATAAAATCAGACTCGGACTTCTTTAAATCTGAGTTTTACTGTGCGTATTGCTGTGTGTTTGTTTATTCCACATTGTCTAGAGGTATAAGGGAAGTGTTGATATCTCACAAACATGTTTAACCCGCTGCATTTTTGCGCCTGTCCGAAGTCAGGAACCTCTATCCTTCGTAAGCCTTGTGTGTGTTGTTTTCTTTTTGTTTATGTGTATGTTTCGGAGTTTAGTGTGGCGTCCATTCCGATGAACTCGTTTAATTATTGTTATGGGGGCCAGCTGAAGCCCGCCTCCGGGTGCAGAATTTTCTCGCTGCGATGCCGACCAATTTGTAGCTTTTTCAGGAACCTGATGTTCAGTGGTTGTCGTTTGTTGATGTGGTTCATAAGTGTTTCTCGTTTCTCGTTTTTTATATAGATTAGACCGTTGGTTTTCCTGTTTGAATGGTTTTACACTAGTCATTTTTGAGGCCCTTTATAGCTTGCTGTTCGGTGTGAGCAAAGGCTCCGTGTTGAAGGCCGTACCTTGACCTATAATGGTTTACTTTTATAAATTGTGACTTGGATGGAGAGTTGTCTCATTGGCACTCATACCACATCTTCTTATATCTACTTTTTGCTGATTTCTGCTCTTGTGTCGGGTTGTTGTTGACACATTCCCCGTTTCCATTCTCTAAACGCGTGCCCAGTACTTTCAAAAGTGGATAACCGCTCAGTACATTGACGTTTAATTCGTAACTCTCCTGAATGTTTTTAGCCATGAAACCGTTTCCGGTTTTTGGGTCTCGTCTTATATGGGCAAAGGGGAAGGTGTATGACCACGTGTACAATGCTACTTTTGACTGTTTATATATGTCACCGAATTTTTCGTTTAGCCTTAAATAATGGTGTGGAAAGGGTACATCATTTCAGTATTTTTTTTTTCATTTTTTGCCCAAATTTTTCTGTTCATTATTTTTTGCTACTAAGTAATTTTTCTTTATTCTTTATATTTCTCTATTCTTCATTTTTGCTAACAGTTCTCTATTTTTTATTTCTCTTCCGTATTTAATCGATTCATTATTTTTTTGCCCAATTGTATCATTTTTTGCCCGATATTCTTTTTTTTATATACCCCATCTAGACACTAGTAGATTTTAAGAATATCAGTCAGTCAAATACGGATAAAGATTACCAGTGGAAAATCGTTGCATTTTATCGTGGATAATTGGTTGGAAAAAAAGTACTTGTAAAAAATCCTTGCATTTAACGAGGGAATGGGCTTCAAAAAATAGAGCACAAGGAGAAAATTGAAAAAGAACGAGTAAAGAAAACCATATTGTTCAGATTTATATGAGGGTCTGAATGGGCTTTAGAGAACAGAGAATAATGGACAAAAATTGCACAAAAATTGCAAAAAATCTAAAGAATAGAAAAGAAATAGAGAATAGATGGAGAGTTGTCTCATTGGCACTCATACCACATCTTCTTATATCTATATAATAGAGAATACCCAGGTGCTGAAAAAGAAAGAATAGAGAATAATTGTCAGAATTAATAAAGAATAGAGAAAAATGGAACAAAGAAACGAAAGACACCACCAGACCCTCTTATATAACATCTTTAAAAGAAGTAAAATAGTTTTTTTTTTCAAAATATGGGCACATTCCGGTAACATGTCAGTTTCCATTAATTTTGATCTAAGTTGTAAATAATAGGATTATTAGTCATCGTTGAAGCCATTGAAAAATTTAATTAAGTTTGTTATCCAGTTACAAGTAGTATGAAAACACCATTGATAGTTAGATTGATGTTAGTAAATTTACTCTTAGCCGAATAACTCGTTAGCAAGTTGGAGTTGACATTTCTTTTATCCGTGGCTGTAGCTGTTCCAATGAAACTCAAACTCTTTAGTCAAAACGAGGCGAAACGTTACAATGAACAGTTAACAATGATCTTTAATCGTATAAAGAACTTTCAATTATTTCAAACAATTGTGTAGACCTATTTTTTTCTTTTTCAGAGCAACGACATACATAAAAATATTCCATATGACTCGAAAGAATTCAGGGCACGAAAAACTGAGGCACCCCTGAACTACGAACCGAATGCACATATAGCAATAATCCCATTCGGAACTCCTCCTCCTGTACATATCCCAGATGTGGACGCTCGGATAATTGTTATTACATTCAACAGATCACACTCTTTACGCAGACTATTAGAATCTCTAAACAAAGTGGATTATTTAGACGACAAAGTAGTGATAGAAATATGGATTGATAGGAATAAAGATAATGAATTTGATGAACAGTCTTATGTCACGGCTAAAAACTTTAATTTTGATAAAGGACTAAAAACCATAAATATTCAGAAAAAGCATGCCGGGATATATGGTCAGTGGATATGGACATGGCGACCAACATCAGACACTAAAGAAATCTGTGTTATCTTAGAGGACGATTTGTCTGTTTCAACATTTTTCTATCGGTATTTGAAAAAGGTGCATGCGCAATATGATCATAGACCGGAAGTCAATGGCTATGCTTTACAAGCAGCAAGTCTAAAACACGGAGGTGGAAAAGGGCCTCTTCAGGCACCAGACGAAAATATTGTCTTTCTTTATCCTGTTTTAGGTTCATGGGGGTTTTCACCAAGTAGGGATAACTGGATAGGATTTCAAAATTGGTTCAGGGAAGCTCATAAAAATAAAACATTTCTGCCGCTAGTTCCCGGCATTTTACCAACTCTGTGGTATAAAAAAGAGTTCAAGGCAGGAACGCATGAAAATATTTGGACTATGTGGCAAATTTATTACGCATACAGTAAAAACGAGAGAACTCTTTATCCAAATTTTCCTAATAAAACGGGAATGACTATCAACTGGAGAGAAAATGGACTACATTTTAGCAAGGCAGTGGAAGTCGCAGGTCCTTTGGTAGAGAACTGGGATGAAAGGATAGAAAACTTACCAGACGAACCAGTTCATCTAGATGTGAATGGAACTGTTGTTAAATATTAAAATAAATTAAGTCTAAGTTCAAATATTATTATGCAATAGGTTGAACATTTTGTATGTCAGACCATTGTGAAGTCATGATTAAGTATAGGCTTTTCAAAAAGCTGGCATGACCTTAAAGTTTGCTCTCCGAGAACTTGATAATGTGAAAACAAATACTTTGTTGTCACGTGACTGTTTTCAGTCATACAATATAGAATGTCATAATTTGATAGATTATTATAAAAGTCAACAAAAGTACTGTGTGAATTTATTTCAGACTTACATAGATTGTTGGGTGAAATAATTTAAAAGAAACACAATTAGAATACTGATATTTAATAAACAAGTATGTAATTATTTAATGTAGCTAAATTTTTTGCCTTGAATATTATTTTATGAATACAACTTCAAAACCTAAAATTTTTACCTTTAAACTTGATGGAATGTTAACATTGAAAAATCTCAAAAATTTCAAAATTGTTGTTAGAAAAAAGGTAAGTGATAAATAAATACAGAAAACAACTTCCAGTTTTGTTTTCACTGCGGGTGTCATGAATAAACTCTATACAGAAAATTACAAAAGTAAAAGCCAATTATAATTTCTACAATTTATACGAAAAGGAATTTATGATGATAGATGGCTGCTTAACGTCCAGTGGGAAATTAATATGCATATTCAGGACGAGAACATGTTAATGTTATTTGACAATTCACCGTGTTTTGTACTAGACCGACACGCTGAGCACGATTTTTTACATGCTAGTTCACAGGGTAACAGTCCAAAGGAGGACATGTCACCTTAAATGGACACATTATTCTTACTCAGAGCCGACCAGTCTTAATTGGCTCTTACTCCTTTTTGTCACGTGCTTAGCGGAGAGGCAACTAATAACAATTTCAAAGTCTTTGGCCTCCTGTACTCGAGACGAACTCGTTATCACGAGATCACCTAGTCGGTTCAAAACGGAAGTGAGTGACGATGATATTTCTGCTTAAATTGTAAAAAAAATCAACACATCCAATTCTTGTATTAACATAGCTTGGCAATGCGATATACAAGTACTAGTATAAGAATGAGAAGATGTGGTATGATTGCCAATGAGACAACTATCCACCCAAGTTGAAATGAAGTTGATGCAAGCAATTATAGGCAACCGTACGGACTTCAACATTGAGAAAATTATATACGGTATTATAATGATAGTCGGCTATAAAAGACCCTTGCATGAAAAATATGAAACAATTCAATTGAGAAATCTAACGATTTAACATTTGGACTCTATAGAAGATGTGGTATGAGTGCCAATAAGACTACTCCCAATCCAAGTCACAATTTATAAAAGTAAACCATTATTTGGCTCACACCGTTTAGCAACCTATAAAGGGTCCAAAAAAGTTACTAGTGTAAATCCATTCAAACGGGAAAACCAACGGTCTGATTTATATAAAAAACGAGACACACTTATGAACCACACCAACAAACGACAACTACTGAACATCAGATTCCTGAATTAGGACAGGTGCAAACAATTGAAGCGCAATGTTTACCGAATCAATGTTAAAAGCGAATACAAAATTTAAACTCATTTTATTTTATTTTTTTATTTTTGGAATAAAAGGAAGAACATGTCACCTATAACAAGAACACTGGAGAACAATCTAAAAGGTTTGTCCACACTCCACCCTCCGTCCACTCCGCCCAGGCAAAGAGCGGATGGTTTTAATGTGTGATCGAGCTACGATGAACCAAATTTGATAGGTCATCTGTCGGTTAATATAAAAAAATAGAAATAAAATGTATAAACATTCCATGGTAACTGTCGAGAGCACAATCTAACGCGCTCTTCAAAGTCTTAACAAATGCTAAAACTCAATGGCCATTAATGGAGTCACACATGTCTTCATGGAAGGTATCTAATTTGGGTAAAACTAAACAGAACTTCACTTGCTTCGATGGAATAATAAGTTACCGTTAATGAGACAGCAACCAAACACCCCAAGTCAACCAATAAAGGCCGTTTAAAACTGTGTATAGAAATGCTGTGACCGTTCAACTGAAATTTCTCCCATTGAATCACTACTTTTGGCGGAATATGAAAATAATAATTTATGTGGAAGGGGGTTAAAAGGGAAGTCTTGTCAGGCCGTTTCAGAATCTAACGGACTATGCGTAATTTTATTGTTCGTATCTCAAAATTAAGATAACGTCACGTCATTAGTTGAATTTCCATTTTTTAGGACGTTTTGGTGTAAACTTTTGAAAAGATTACCCAGAATGCATTAGATTCCGAAACGGAGAAATAACCGACTGATGCCTTGGAACACAAAAAATAGAAACTTGTAATTACCACGAGTAAATAATTCAGCAATGTTAATTTGTATACAAACTAGTTGCGCATTCATATGTTAGCCAGTTCTTGGACGGAATAAAGTAATTCGTCAAGTTTAGAAGTGTTTATTTTATTCGACATAAATACATTACCTATTAATAATATATATGTCGTAACAACAATCCCTTTTAAACGAATGTGACCTACCGAATTAGACTATTTACCGGGTTTGTAATAACATGAGCAACACGACGAGTACACCATGTGTAGCAGGATCTGCCTACCCTTACGGAGGACCTGAGATCACCCCCAGTTTTTGGTGGGGTTCGTGTTGCTTAGTCTTTAGTTTTCTATGTTGTGTCTTATGTACTATTATTTGTCTATTTGCCTTTTTCTTTTTTAGCCAAGGCGTTGTCAGTTTATTTTCGATCTATGAGTTTGACTGTCCCTCTGGTATCTTTCGCCCCGCAGTATATGGTACATAGGTCTGTCTACTATTTGGTAACATCTCATCAGATTATGGCTTTATCATAATATCATGGTTTTGATTAATATGGAATAAGGGTCCAGAATATATAAAACTATTATATTTTAAATATTGATGCTGTATATATAGCTTTTTTATCTCGAGGTATTCAAAAAGCATTGTTAAACTTTGAACTAAATATGACCAATATCAGACACGATAACTTGACACGTGACTGTCTGCCTGCATAATGAACCAGAATCAGCGTGTCTACGATGCTCTGAATTAAGGGGGAGGGGGTTGTAATTTCTGTCTTCTTTATGTTTTGAGGTCATTATCTATATCTGTAAAAAAATAATGCTGATTCTGTAAAATACTCATGGAACTGATTTTACAATTATTTTTTTCTGTAATGATATGATTTTATTCTTTGCACTCTTCATTACTGTAATCAGTATTTTATTACCCGTTTCTTTTATTTTTCACAGTTATTCATTATACTTTTGCATTCCATTATTCTCTTTTATTCATTTTTTGTTCATTTGGGGGGGGGGGGGAGGTGCTCTATTCTGTGAACCCCATCACGGCCCTCATTGTTGTGCAGCTACGATGCCATTAATATTTATAAGGATTGTACATGTAAAATTGGAGTGGTAAATTTAGTAGAATATATGATTTTAGAAGTCATCTGATATGAATAGAAAGACACGAAATGAATATGACTTCCTACATATCCTGCTCACTAGTTGTGAATTGCGGAATTGAAATAGAGTTTTTAGTTCTTTTGTTTACTTTTTCTATGCCTACAGGGATCTGTTGACTAGAACCTTAACGTAATCAAAGAGCAATCGTTTTAATGTAACCAATCACGGTTCAGTTTTACAGCGAAATATAAAAAGAGCTTCTGGAATATTTAACCAATAGCTGTTACGTACGGTTGACTTCTGATTATTCTCATAATAAATTGATCAATATAAACTGTTTCGTTTAATAATCTAAGTTCCTTACTATGGAGAGAACAAATGCAGATAACCATCTTGAGAAATTAAAAAAAAAATAGTTTCTTACTATGAAGAGAACAATTGCAAAGAACCATCTTTAAGGGAAGACACGTCTTTAAACCAGAGTGATAGTTAAACCCCTTTGATTTTTATTGGCTATGAAAAAAAAACAGGTTCAGAAGAAATAATAATGAGACACTGAGACACATTACCCAAAAAAATTAGTTACAGGTCAATGAAAGCATATAAGTATGAAATTTATATATAAAAGAAGAATATAAGTATTGGACACCATGTTCAAGGGTCTTGATGGGGTTTACAGAATACAGATTATAATATCATGAATAGAGAAAAATGAGCCAAAAAATTAGAATTTAGAATAATAGGGAGCAATAGAATAAAGTATTATAACCGTTAAAAATTACAAACTGTTCTTTATTATTCTGATGATCTTCTGATGTTTACTGGCCTCTCATAAATACTGCCAATTTCGTTTATCCCACTAACCAGATCCTACTCCGCATGTTGCACCGTCCTGATTTGATTCGTTCATCGTCAAGATTGTTAAATTATTTGACTATAAATATCAATATTATCATTCTTCCCTTATGAAATATGGTTAAAAAATCAAATTATTAAAGAGCATAAATTGTTTTTAAAGGCGTTCTGCACACAATTATAAAAGATCAGCCTAACGTTGAATTACAAAGAATTCCTTCTTTTCAGTTTTTGATTCAAGATCTACCATAGTCATTGAAAATTCTGTGTCTCCAAAGTTAAATAAAACTTCCAGAATTTTTTCTTGGCAGTCTGGATTATAAATGACAAATTTGAACTCCCCAAATGATGTACATTCTCCCGTGTCAGTATACATACCATTGTCCCTATCCGTGATATACACTCCACATATGCCGCCGGTCTTTTCGTTCGTTGAATAGATTTTTTTAATTGTATGTTCTAACGGCATAGATGTGTTGATCCAAATGAATGGATCAAATATGTTTTTGCACTTTGTCTTTCCGTTCCGAAATATCTTTCTTTTCTGATCATGAAAACGTTCATCAAAAGGCACAGAACAACTGACGCCATAAGTATATCGTGCTATTCGCGATGATATGATGTCGGATTTATAACCAAATAAAACTGCACCTTTCAGAACGATAACACCTGAATCTTCTTGCAAAATAATGTTTATGCTTGGAAATGCGGTCTTTAAAGTATTCTGTACCATCTTACATTCCGCAAAACCACCAACAAGCAGAATGCTAGAAACATTGCCAACTTCCACTGTTGTAGAACAGACTGTATTAAAGTTACAACATTATCACATGTTGTCTTGAAAAGCGATTTAGCGAATACTGGCTCAATTCTCATCTTGTCTTTACATATTTCAATGTTACATGCCAAGGATGATGAACTGACGACATTTTTAATATTTTCCCCAAAATTTGATTGACAGAGATCGCCAAGCGTTGCATATGGAATGGTTTAATTCACTTTTCTTGATTGTGTGGGTTGAAATGTTCGTTTAATGTTTTCTATACTTCTCAACAGATACAAGTAAGATTCTGGACTCTCTGATTTCAGACTGTTTAAAAGTGGTCTACCAAATATGCGAACGAAAAGCTGGATAAATGCTTCATCAACCGAGGTCCCACCACAGCCATTACCGGAGGCTTTTGTCACTTCCTTTAAAGTGCCGTTCGGATTTTTTTCATAAACCGTTACATCTATTGTACCACCTAGAATATAATCCATAAAAAGTATATAACTTAATTTTTTAGTATCGACAGGTTTCAATTGATAAAAATCGTCATTTCTAACAATATTTAGTGACATGTTAAATTAGGAGCCTGTGATGTACAGTAGAAATTTCATTAATGGTTATACGATCAGTGTTTTAAACAATTGATTTTTTTTACAAAACGTTTTATTAATCTTCGCACGAAATATATATTGATATGCCAAAAGATCTGAATGAATTTGCTGGATATTGCAACTGCGGTTCTTAGCATTTTTAGTGTCTAACAATCTCATGTGAACAAAAAATCTTGTTTTGTACATTTTTGTCGTTATATGTTTTGTGTTCTGTTATTTAGACACAAAGGCTATGTCTCGTTCAATCGGTGGTAACATTGTCTTTGCTATTCTGCATTGACTTCATTAAAGCAACATCACCGCTGTTTCGGAGTTTGTGTCTCGTCACTTGAAAAAAGTAAAATATCGAAAATACCAAACTCCAAGGAAAATTCAAATCGGAAAGTTTCTTATCAAATGTCAAAATCAAACACATCAAACGAATGGAAACAACTGTCATATTCCTGACGTGGTACAGGCATTTCCTAATGTAGACAATGGTGGATTATACCTGGTTTTAAAGCTAGCTAGACTCTCTGTCTCACTTTAAACCCGTTAAAAGGTTCAACTGTAGCATCGCAATAACTGATAACATACCACCAAGATCTGCAACCATATATCTTGATCCAATTTCCGCAATTTCTCTGCAACCGGCAGACGGGAACGTTTGACAATATATCGATGCTGCTTCTGGTTCGAGTGCAATTGTTAGCCTATCTCGTGATATTCCAGCCTGACAAAAAAAGAAATAACACTCAGCCTGGCTATATATATTGTCAATGATATTTTGAGTGTTGCCTGACAATGGACCACTCCAATTAATCTCATTTTTATGGTTTCCATCTTAGAAATAGGGTAAAAATATTCAATGAGGGCTGAACATGAAAAAAAATTTCTCAGTACAGTACTATTTGTGTATTTCCGACGTTCCGTTAATAACGCCGGTCTTTTCGTTCGTTGAATAGATTTTTTAATTGTATGTGCTTACGGCATAGATGTGTTGATCCAAATGAATGGATCAAATATGTTTTTGCACTTTGTCTATCCGTTCCGAAATATCTTTCTTTTCTGATCATGAAAACGTTCATCAAAAGACGGAACAGCAAACATGTTACACATTACCTTATACCAGCATAATCTGGACAATGAGTGGCGGTGCATAACAATCACCATATACCACAGACGTTGTAGGCATGGAACCCCTTTTTCTATTTTTGTTGTTTAATTTTTACTGAAAATTATTTTTTTGGTAATGTTTCAGCTTATTTTCTTCCTTTAAAGGGAAACTCCGCGATTTTTTACTTATCATCTAAATATGTTCATCTTAACATAAAAAACACATTCACAAAGTTTTAAATTTATATTCTTTCTAATAACGGAGAAAATCAAGTATTTGTAACTTTTTTGGTTGACCTACGTCACTGGGTTGTGACGTTTTAACCCGAATTGTTGAATCATGGGAAAAAATAAAATCTGTTAAAGTCTTAATTGCTTATCAGAATTTTACGTAATTAAAAGCGCACAGATGACCGTTGGTCGTAGTTAATAACCACAATATAAGAATGAAAGAAAATGAATATGTGTGTACCGTTTTGTATTGATTGAATAAAACTTCCTATATGAAGTTATCTTTAAATATAAATATTTTCGAATTAATTTCATAAATTATTGAGATTTTTTCATAAAATATCTATAGAACATTTTTACTGATATTGAACTGAAAATATTTTAAGTTTTATTTACCGTTATAACTTTGATAACCATTTCAATGCAAAATATTTGTGAACAGAGTGTGTATATAATTTTGTAAAGTCATTGTTTATTTCTCGATTTGAGAATTCGTTTGAACTTTACCTTGCAGCAATTTAGCCTCAGGTGTACACATGTGTGAATTCAAGCGTACACAGGTGTGAGTATTGTCATTTTGAATGGATTAACAGAAAGAGTATAGCGTTATTAATATACCCAGATGAAATACCCGATGACAATAGAGAAAGAATAATTAAATTGTATAAATTAATTGAAAATTAACATTCAACTTTTTAATTCCGGAAGTTTTACAATATTAAAATGGAACAATTTTCGGTTACGTTCTATGCAATTAGCATTAAGTTAAGATATGAAGTTAAAAGAATAGTACTTTTAATCTTAAAAATTAAATGTTACATTTCCCAATTAATAATCATTGCACATCTGTTTAATTTACTTTACCGGAATTCTTAACTTGTATTTAAATCTGGCGATGTTTAAATGCTAACAATCGTAAAACTATCGCAATTTTAAAGTTTTTAATTGTAAAAATACAACAGTACAACATGCATGATTTTTTTAAATTTTCTTATTAACATTTCATCTTACATAGTTAAATTCATTTGACAATCACTTAGACAAATTATTTGTGAAAAGAATACCAATTATCGTTTATTTCATTAATGAATATACATACATTATAAATCTAAGCTAATACATTAATTTGTTTGAGGATTTTTTTTAGGATAGCCGTCATTAATCCAAATTAGTAATACAGTTGTTGTAATTAAAGGCATATCTTAGTAATGTATTACTGATATTGACGATTTTAGAACAGTTCGTCCCAACCTCGTTGTTCTTGAAACAATCTTTACTAGTATACTTGTCAGTTTCCTGACGTATAAGCGCCATTGAGGATGAGCTCCAGAGATAGCAGAATAGTAGCGTATTTGTTTGTTGGGGCAGGAGAGGCCATGCAACCACTTGTACAGATAAACAAGCTTATGTTGTCAACACTATCAGAAAGAGTTCCCATCGTCGGATGGGGTATATGACGGTTCCAAGAATGAACTATTGACATGTCTGACTCTGAACAGTTAGTAAACGGACTTAACGATTTACGATTTATTAGAAAACACTCAGACACATTTAAACGTGTAACATGAGGTCAAATATATAATACAGTATATGTAAATAACATGACAGAAGAACAATTAAACATATTAAAGTCAATACACATAGCTCATTAGCATCAAACAGTGTGAATGATTATGCAGAAAGATATACAACACATATGGATCGAAATGACATATATCAAAGAAATACATTAACTTTTCTGATGAACAAGGATAGCTTTTTGTATAGTTCAGTATTACAATAAGACAGTAAACCTTCAAACTTGATAATGCTCGGGTAAGCTGTGTAGTACATAGGTATGTATTTGTTTCTTAATGACACAATATTTTCATTTTTACATATAAACAAAATATGGAATTCATCTCCAATACCATTTGTACATACGTTACATGTTCTTTCCTCCCTTGGTATTTTGTACCAACGACCAGTTTCTATAGGTAAATGTAAATTAGATGTACGTAGTTTGGTTACTGCCACGTTCGATTAAATTCACTAAGTCTCAATAAGTGATTTTCCAAACAAAACTGTTTTTTGAATATCGAATAAAAGAGGCCACGGGAGGAGTTTTGTATATCACTATACCATTTTTGTATAAACTGGTCACATAAAATTTGCTTCACAACAATTTTATCACAAAATACAAACTGGTTTTTAAAAATGTAACTCATTCCAACTTCATTAAAAATAGTTTCTACACATTTAATCCATTTGAAGGTATATTTAGTTTTAATTTGTAAGGATAACATCAGTTGATACAAAATACTACTTAGTTTAGAATCATTTTGTACAAGTCTTGTCCAGAATGATACCATTCTAAGTTTGACTTTAATTTTGAGGGGAAATCTTCCAAGTTCACCTAAAACCATAAAATTTGGTGTAGTATTCCTTACTTTGAGTACTCTTTTACAAAACTTCAAATGGATTTGCTCAATAGTTTTAAGGTTTTCGTATCCCCAAATTTCGGATCCATACAATAAAATTGGTTCTATCATCGAGTCAAATAGCTTTAATTGGATATCAACAGGTAAAGACTCATTTCTGATAAGTTTATAAACACAAAACATTGCCTTTTCTGCTTGTTCTACAAGTTTTTTCTTAGTCTCAATAAATGTACCATTATATTTGAAAATAACTCCAAGGTAAGGATATGTATCTACAATATCAATGATCTATAGACATCGACCGCTTGTTCTTGATATTTGAAACTGCATGCATATACACGTTTATGAGAGTCATTATTTATCTTGTGTCTGACGAAAACTAAATGCCTGCATGGTTATCATCTTGCCATACGTTTGTATTGGTTTGGTGGGTGTTCACTCAAAATCGTAATTCAAAAATTGTGTTTGTGAGATGTAGATTCACTTCAATACCGAATTTCGTCTATATATTTCACAAGTGTATACCACGGAGAAGATCTGAAGGTATATTACTCCCATTTTGTTTGGATGTGGACCATCGATGTTTACAGCAATATTTAATGAATAAGATGATGATGGTAGAAAGAACTATGAGCGTCATGAGGAAAATATTACATGCATGTCGGACCATGAGTTGACAATCTGTATAAAAAGATTTCCAATACATCCATATTGAGTAGGAATTTTTACATGCTATACTCTCGTACTAGTATTACAGGGTTCTTGTGTCGTTTAACTCTGACACACATTTTTTACTTTAAGATGTATGAAAGGTTCTAAATGTATATATATATATATCTTAAATGTAACAATAATCAAACGCCTATAGGCAATCACTAAAATGGTATGAAGTTTTTATACAGATTTGTTCTTATTTACACAATCATTAACAAACTAAATAAATTTAACAAAGTAACACCGTGACACTACGATATAACAAATGGGATACTAATTATGTTTAACCATGCTATGCAGAAACTTAACACATCAAGCAGGAACATATATATTAATATACTGTTCCCAGCATCAAGTTAGTGCACGTGAATACCAATTAGGAACACGATACATGTGATTTTGTATAACTAAAAATATCAAAGCGAGCAATAACTTTGTCAAGCAAACATTTTTATCATTATGCCTCTCTTTATCTCCGCTCCTTTACAATAACTATTTCGCTTTTCGTCGATCATTCTCTATATTGTTCTCTATTCGGTTATTTTTTTTTTCACTGCCACTCTTACTCCGCTCCCTTTTCCCCTGTCGTCCTAATCCTTATAAACATAGGGACATTAGACATAGAAGGGGCTCTCTTATCTTCAATGAATTAATATTGATAGTGACTATAAGTGCTGCATTACTTTATATATCTGCATGTTTGCCAATCGACAAAAGCTTGTATTTGCGTGAAGAATTTTTTTTTTCTTCAAAAATATGGTCCAGAATCATGACAAAACAATATTCATTTTACCAAAATGTTCAAAGGTCATGTTTATAATTTTTTTTAAACTTATTATCAGCAAAAATAGTGGATAATATCATTATCAGAACATCATTCATTAAAAGGTGGAATTATAATTTCAAACACACACAAGATAAACAACGTTAGACACAAATATATGGTTCAATAAATGTTACCTGTGCACACCGGGTACCTCAATAAAGAGGCCATGCATGAACCTGTATTATATAATTGTGTAATACGAATGTTTAGTTGACAGGATGTCACTGGAATACCCAGGGACGTGTATCTAATATACGTCCTTGGAATACCTAACTGAATGTGTCGCTCTGACACGACATCTATCAATAATTCTGACATACCTATTATCAATTCGGGAGTAAGCCAAAATATATATATATAATAAGATAACGTAAATAAAATTTAAAAAGAAAAAAAACCTATAAAATTTTCACCGAACATACCAGA